TTGTTCCAATGTTCGCTTCACGCGTGTTTGTGAAGAGCCCGAGGTTGTCGGTGCCCTCGCTGGGGGTGAGGAACGGGAGCGGGGCCGGGGCAGAGCGGGGACAAGGGACATTTCATCACTCGGTGGCACTCAGTAGGTAGGAAAGGACACTGGTGTGTACTTTTAAAATTTTTTTTAAAATGTTTCATAGAGAATGTGACCTCCTCCAACTCCTGACATGAAAGTAATGACAAGAAAGCACATTCGCGTGTACTGCTTCATTTCCAGCCTATGGAAAATATCTCCCCATGACCTCCGAGTCAGACAATACATAAACCTGCCGGTTGGAGGCAGAGCTGTAAAGATTCACGCTGAAGTGCTGTGCTTTGTGACAGCAGTAGTTGTTTGCATCTTTGTTTTTTTCATAATATACATTTTCAAAATAATCTTAAATATTTCTGTTTGTTTCAGGAAAAAATGCATTGAAACTGAACTAGAAACTGCAAAAAGATGGTCTCACAAATGGGGATTCCTGAAAACACCTCTTGAGGTAAAACTGAATGGCATATGAGCAACACATGAAATTAACGTGTACACAAATTCACCTGGACACAAAATTACAAGAGCACAAAAGACTAGAAGAAGAGTTTGCTTTACTAAGCTAGGTCCCAAGGTAACAAGTGCACTTCTTTTAAGATGGGTTTAAGGTTTCAGTTTTCCTCTGAATAAAATACAGCAAGTGGTAATTTATATGCTATGCATAGTCTGATATATTTCTCCTGAGAAACATGACTCCCAGTAGTGTTAACAAGTACTAGATGCACACTGACAGGAAAATATTTCCCCTTTGTCTACCCATATGGTAGTTTAAAAATCTAGGGGAAAAGGTTCTAGCTAATTACATTTTCAGTGGGGGAATTTACAACAAATGAAAATATTTAGAGAAGTGTCTATTCTCAGTGATGTTTAGATATTAAAATATAGTAGCACATAATGTTGCATTTGGAATCGCAGTATTTTATCGCTAAAGAACAGGACTGATGTAGCCCCTGAATAGTTATAAATGTACTTTCCATGGAGGTAGAAGTACTTCATCTGTTCTAGGATTTTTTGAAAATCCTGTGGACATCCAAGTTAGCACCTTTGAAATCTTTGGTCCTCAAGGCTTCAACATCCATCCTTGATAACTATGGTATGTCATGCATACCACCTTTGCACAGTGCTAATAGATCTACAGCTGAAAAGTTGCCAAACTATGCATTGTTCCTATTGGTGAATATGTGTATTTAGCATTTATTAATCTTTGTTTTGTGGTCATATAAGATATGTATAAGATATAATTCTAGGCCTTTTTGGACTAGTGATGTAGTTAAGAGAGTTGGAATCACTCAGCAATATTTAGCCTTTCATCTGAAATTCAGAATTGCATCACTTTCTGAAACCAAAAATTTTCACAGCACTAAAATAAGTAGTTCTGTTTTAGATGGAAAGAACAAGGAGTTCAGATGCAGCAGTGAGGAGAATGGTGTAGATATCAGATATTACAGCATATTTCAAAAGATAAAAGGGTCCAATTTTTAATGTTGATGTTTTCATTTTAGTTGACTGAAGATGAAAAGAAAGAAAATACAAAGCCCAACATACAGCTTCCAGAACATCTGCAGGTTCGACCTGTGACACCTGTGGAAAAATACATTAAGGTTAGAAATTACATTTGAAAATTACAATACAGCACTATCTGTCTTAAGAAACCACACAAGCTCTAAAAATCAGTTGTCTTGTAGAGGTGGGCCTCTAACTAAAGGTCAAAGTAAATTGTATTTGCAACCCAAGCAATGCTTTAAAAGCATTCATTTAAGACAAGGAATTGCCCTTTGGATATGGTTGTTAGTTCACAGAGCTTTCACTGTACATAATCATCTTTCTGTAAAGCGCCTCCCCCATGCACTCTGTGACATCTAGTTACACAACAGTCAACTGTGCAGCTCAGTACAGAAGAGCACTCACAGAGCCATTTATGACTGCTGACCATTTGTTGCTTAAATATACATATCCATGTCTTCAAGGCTTATCATAACCTTCACTCTCAGATTTTTTGGTTAAGATGCAGTCATTTTTCTAGCTTTAGTTAAGACAGTCGTCTTTTCGGCAGAGACACGGCCACTCTCCTCTTTAGTGGCACAATTAGTAAGAAGCCAATTCTAATGAGCCAATTCATAACTATTTGATTTTATATAATATGATTTATATTCACATATTCAGAGTCTAAAAGTCATCAAACATCTGGAAATGAGAGTGGAATGTGACTGCTGGTTTGATTTATAAATAATACAGTATTAGAATCGCCAATGAATAGGATAACTATTCAGGCAGCTAAATCAGTGACACTGGGAGAGGAACATATTCATAAAAGGGGAAGCAGAATATGCTAACAAAAAGGAAGGTTAGTCCACTTAGAGAAGATTAAGGAAACAAAAGAGATTGGAAATTCCTCCTTGCTGAACCAGCTTTCTTTCAAAGGATTCCAAGGGTGGGGAGATAAGGTGAGGAAGTAGTAAAAGCTTTTACTGAGATTAAATTGAAACAAAAATTAAGAGCTAGTGCTCTGAGTGTGGAAGAGAAATGAAATGGCAGCATTTCTGCCCTTAGTGCTGCTTGTACTTAGTTTTGTCTCAAGCCTCCCATTTCAGCCAAGTTTACCTCTGCTTCAGCAAAGTGAGGGTGTATGCCTGTTAAATCATGCAGACAGTTATCAGCTGCTATAAGCAGGGATCATAGTTTCAATTTCACCTCAGAATCTTTACATGCTACGGAAGATAAGGATTAGCTGTGATTTAGGTCACAGTGAAGTTTATTAAGTCCTTATTCAGAACTATGTCTTTCTGCACATTTGCCTTCATGGTAACAGTCTTCATATCTGGTTCTTGTCTCTAGGTTAGATTAATAATTGCTTCTTCACAGTCCCTTTCCCCAGATCGTAAGTGGGACATGATTTCCTTCATTATCCTGCTCAGTGGGTGGCACTTTTGGCCATAAAAATTATCTTTTCAGAGGAACTGCTCCACCTAAATATCATAAACATTTTCTAATCTTGGCCAAAGAACAAAGTGAAGCAAGTCTGGCAAGAGAACTGAAACATTGTTCTCTTGCTGTGTATTTCTCTACTAAGTCCCCAGATGCTAAAATGATATAACGTGCCCAGTTGAGATGATTCAGCCAAAGTAAGCACAGCAGTCAGTGAACAGAGACTGCTGGCTTTTGTTTTGTTTCCTTTTTAGCTAGATTAGTTGCAGATTAACTTGATGCTTACCCATCTTTTAAAGTAGAAAGAAGGTGGAACGAATAAGTAGTTCTCATTTCAAAAGCCAGCTTGGTCAGTAATATCTTTAGCATTTGGCCACAAAGCTATCATTCCGTAGTTTCATTGCTACCAAATACGTTATAGCAAGAAGAAAGTGTTATTTCTCCTGTTCAGAGAAGTTAACTACTTTTAAAGATTCTTATTATTCTGTAAGGGAAAAAGCTAAAGCTGAAGATAAAATTCTCCTAGTACATAAAGTCAGTAAAGCCCTTAGAAAGGCATTGAACAAAACTTTAAAAAAAAATTATGCTAACACAAACCACTAAACAATAACTTTGCTTTATGATTTCTTGTTATACATACCAATTTATGCGCTAAAACTTTTTTTTTTAGAACAGTGGTAAGTGAAAATCAGTTACTTCATTGGAATGTGGCCATTTTACTTCTCTCTTTT